ACAACTTTAATAAGTTTTTAGCTGCATAACAACTACAATAACTGGACAACAGTGAACAACAATCTATATCTCTAATATGGGAACTAATTCTTTTTATTCCTAGTTGCGTGGTTATCATGTTAAAACTTGATTTATATTGTTAGAATGAACAAAAATTCAATCTAATTCTCCTGGTGTGCGGTGTTTTGATAAGTTGATTGAATAACTTCACCCTAAAGGCAAATTTTTGGTCTTAGGTTTTCAGTTTTCTTATGAAGAATGGGCCTGATTATTTTGACATAATTAGTTATATGTGACAATGCAAGGGTGTTTGTTGATGAATTCAATGTTTAATCTAATTTGAAATGGTGAACTCTTTATTGGTTTTGATTGTGGGCAGAGACTCATGGAATGATCCAAAGAGAGTGGAAGGGTAAGATCATGTGATTGTTTGTGTTGCTTTTGTTTCAGGTGTAGTTTCTGCTGCCATTGGCAGATATGATTCAGTGTGGGTATGGGGAAAGTCGAAGAGGGGTAGCTCGATCTTGTAAAGGGTATCATCGATGCCTTCATACCTGCATAGTCTAAGCGCTTGCCAGAGAAAAGATATGAAAGACGGGCTCCTAAATTCTTAAGGTAGATTAATTTATCCTCTATACTTAACTTTGAGATTGAGCACTTATATCATCCTATTATAAGGAAATTTCATGATTGTATTTTCTTTGACATGTTTTATTTGGTTGGGGGACATGTTCTTGCACATACATGATGGGAAATTGTTTGGTTTGGGTTATTCAGCTGATGGTAGAATAAAAAATGTTAGGGAATCTCTGGAGGCATCGTTGCTGGACTCAAATACTAATATATCGATGAATGACAAACAATTTTCAGGTTCAGGACTGGATGTTGCTAAGAAAATGGTTTTGGAATAAATGAAGAAAAAGAAAGGCATGCCAATCAGTTGGGAACCATGATTGGTATAAGAAGTGCAAGGGATTGAAGTTAAATACATTGTTTACGGGCTTGATCATTCATTGGTCCATTGTTGTAAGTAATAGTTTGTGTAGATTACACGATAGACACCTTATTGGGGTAGTTGGCATGCATCTTTGTTAATTTTGAGTGACAAATTTCATGTAACATCACCTTATTGAGCTATGGAAGTAATGTATATGGTCGGCTGGAGAGAGCCATATTGGATTTGGGATTCTTAACTGTTGATCTAACTACCCATCCCGTGTCAATATCATCTAGTATTGGTCATTCTTTGGCAATTGGTGAGGTTTTATCATCAAATGTCGAAGTTGGTGGAATGAGCATTTTCTCATGGGGTTGGAGCTAATGTTCACAATTAGGTAGAGAATTACTGGAGAATCTCCCGTTGATGATCGATGGATGGAAGCGAAATCACCTGTATCAGTGTCGGGAGGACGGGTACATTATATTATTGTGGCGTCTAATGGAGAGGTGTGAGTTTGGTGATGTGGTAAGAATGAGCGACTTGGGTTAGGAAGTTCAAGCGAAGAAGTTGAGCCAACTCTGCTAAAGTGTTTGGAATATTTCAAAGTTCTACAAGCAGTGTCAGGTTTTGATCATAACCTAATTTTGGTAGATGAATGATGTTACAAGCAGGGTTAAGTTATTTACTGAATTGTTATTTATTGTGATGGTTAGGTTTGTGTTGAATTAAAGTTATTCATATATTTGGGCAAAATTCGTGAGATAATGGTGTGGAAAAAAATAATTCGTGAGATAATGTTATTGGAAATGAATGCATTGTGAAATGAATGTATAGTGAAATTGGAAAGTAAGGGAGAGATGTAAAAACTAAAATGGAAAACGTGGTTTTCAAGGGCAGAAAAGGCATACCACTAAATTCCAAACTTTGCTCACATTGGGAAAAGACTTACTTTAATCATTATTAAATAATTATTAAGAATCATTTCTAAATTATATAATTACTAAATCATTAAATATCAAATCGTTAAATATTAATAATAAATCATTAGAAGTATCGATATCATTTTGAGGTTCTGTTTCCATGGTTTCGGTACTGCTTTAGCAGTATCGGTACTACTTAGTCTAAATTGAGTTTTTTACTCGATTAAATTTCAAAAACCTTTAGTAAAAATTGATCATTTGAGTAAGGAGTAAAAATTGAATCGAATATAATCTTAAAATTTATAAAAATTAATTAACAAATTTGTTTGATATTTAAAAAAACAAAAATATTATCAAGTTAGTAGTAATCATTATTAAAATATTATTATCAAATCATTATCAAATCTTATAATTTTATTATTATTGATCATTACTAAATGATTAGTATCAATTCCAAATCATTAAATATTAATAATAAATAATTATTAGTAATCATTACTAAATCATATTATCACTAAATCATTAAATATCAAATTATTAGATTAATAATAATTATTAAATCATTATTAGTAATATTAGTAATCAATCAATCATATTAAATAATTATTAGTTATAAAACATAAATTCAACTTAAATTCGAAGATTTAATCATTTAAGATAATAAATTACATAAATTTCCTTGCAAAAATAGGTTCATTATTACAAAATCAAATATATAAATATACAGAAATACATATATGATTACTAATGAGACATATATCTTAGTAAATTAGGACATTTGTTTTTTGAATGACCTTCACCCCTACATCATCCGCATCTCTTTGGTTTACATCTCTCTAGCATGCAAATTCATACTGGTATGAATACGACTGGACTCAGGTAGACCTTTTGGACTTCTACGAAGCATTGAATTTTGCAGCCATTCGTCATGATCATTTTTGGGCCAATATGATTCATTTGGGATCTGTTTGAACGCATAGTTGTAGACATTTAATATCCTATGTAGGTGAAAGCATTCATCAACATAAGTGTATGCACTTACACCAGCATACATACATGCAACACTGCATGAGCACATGGATATTTCTATGCCTGAAAACGACCACAATCACACCATTTGTGTCGTAAATCAACTTTAAATGTTTGGTTTTCTCCTCCGACGTTACGACGTATGCATGACACAATAAAAGTATGACCAACTCGGTCGAAATTATGAATAACCATTGATGTTGCCAATCGCTCGTTTGCTTCCATTGCTTCCACCACTGTAGGAGCCCAAGTTTGACCTCTATTTATGAGACACTCAATTTCTTTGCCTCTATCGAACCAAACCTTAGTCAACCTAAAGTACGTCTCTTTCACCACACTCTCTATTGGGAGATGGCGTGTACCTTTTAGTACTGAATTAATGGTCTAAGCAAGGTTTATGGTCATATGTCCGTATCGCCGACCTTCATCGGTTGCTTGCTACCATTTTTCCCGCGGTAATTTTTTTTGATAATAAACTCGTGAATTTAAGGGCAAGCATTCGATCAAGTTGAGTAAAAAAATTTCGAGTTATTCGAGTTCTATTTTACAACTCGAACTTAATTTAAAAAAATTCGATTTCTATGTTTATTCAATGCTTAAACGGTCCGCATCTTGCCCAATAAAGATATGAATTTTGCTTTAATTACATTTGGCTTAATATAAAAACAATTGTCGAATTATACATCGAAAAATATTTTAAAAAATAAACTTTTTGTTTGATGTAAGAAACCAATCCAAATTCATTGGCCAATCATGAGTAGAGGTAGTAAAACTAGAGTCGTCTCAAAAAATTGAATTTTTTTATTCGATTCGACTCAAAAAACTTGACTTGAATTGACTTCGAGTTGCAATTTCATAAACTTGACTCGAAAAAATTTCAAGTACAAATCGAGTTGTAAAATAAAACTCGAACAACTGGAAAATTTTAGTAATTAGTAGATTTATTTTAACATTTGCTTCGAGTTCTTAGACTTTGTATGATATATGTATATACACATATGAAAAAAATATGAAGAAATATTTGTATTATTTGATATTTAATGATTTAGTAATGATTATAATAATGATTTATTATTAATATTTAATGATTTAATATTAATAATTAATAATAATGAAATTATAATAAATATTAATAATGATTCCTCATAATTATTTAATAATGATTAAAGTAAGCATTTTCTCAATGTGAGCAAAATTTGATATTTAGTAATATGCCTTTTCTGCCCTTGAAAATCGCGTTTGGAACATTTTCCATCTTTTTTAGTTTTTACATCTCTCCCTTACCAGCCAATTTCACTATGCATTCATTTCACAATTCACAAAACAAACGTTTGGTCATCGGGATCACATAGTGACCTAGTCCATGCACACACACAGGACGTTTGGACGGCTTGGTGACCTCCTGGCTACCAATGTTCTTCCTGTAGCAAATAACCTATCTCAGTAATTAATTTTTTAATAATATTAACTCACGAATTTTTTTTCACACCATTATCTCACGAATTTTACCCAACTTTGTATGATATATGTATATCACATATGAGAAAAAAATGAAATATATATATATATATATATATATATATATATGCATCGGAAACATTGTATATGATTATAAAAAATGATTTAAATTGAAATAAAATAATATTATAAATATTTAAAATTAAATTTAAATAAAAACTCGAAAACTCGTTTTGACTCGAAAAAATTTCAAGTCAAGTTTGAGTTATAAAATAGGACTCGTCAACTCGAATAACTCAAAATATTTATTTGGCTCGATAGAACGCTCATCCCTAGTTACATATATGGCTAGAGTTAGGAAAGTAGATATTTTATATTTTTTATAAAAAAACTAATTTATATTTATTTAATTAATATTTATAAATATATTATATCAAGTGGATTATGGAATGATAGTAGAGATTGAATAGCTATCGATATTTATATAAGCCGTGGGACAGAAATAATTTTAATATTGTAAAATACTAAACATCACGTAATATAAATAAAATTAGACAGAGATAAGTGTGGGATGTCCAATTGACATTTTTTACAATGGACAAAACGATTACGTTTTGTTTACTATCTTAAGAACTATATTCCGTGGATATCAGATTGTAAAAGGTTGGGAAGGTCATTTGGTGGTTCTTCAATCCAGTGCATCCCTTCAGCTCTTCTGGAAGCCCGGTTGGCCATCCGATCGGCGCAACAATTTCCCTCACTCCAGGTATGTCGAACTTCTTTAACCCATCATTCTTTCATCATCTTTTGACATTCACTGATGATGATTTCATGCTGCATGTTGGTCGATTTTCCTCCTTGTAACGCTCCAAGGTCTTCGCAAGCCTCATTCCTTTTTTGATTCCCCAGATTTCAGCTGTGGTGATCATTTTTTTTCCGAGATTTACCACGAACCCGTGGATCCAATTCCTATCTTTGTCTCTTAAAAGTCCACATGTCGTCGCCATGCCAGTATTTGCTTTGCCTCGTCTGTATTCAAGATCCAGTATCCTCATGGTGGTCTTCTCTATTTAACCCATCTGGGTTCACATGTAATTCTTTGTTTAATACTGTTTGTTTCTTGGGAAATTTCTTTGGCAAGCTTGATGTTGTAGTTTAGTAAATGTTTAGTGTTGGGATAATTATTTTTGAGTATTGTTTCATTTCTGGTTTTCCATAAACCACATATGATTGTAGAGAATTGAGTTCCCCATTTTTCCCATCTTTGGTCACTTTTTCGTATCGACAATTCCTTCTAACCAATCTTCAAAGGCCCTAGACTCAAAGCTTCCATCTTGAATCCTCGCTTCAGTCTTCTCCCACACTTCTTTCGCAACTTTACACTCTCTCAAGACGTGTTCGATCTATTCAATAACTCCCTGACAATGTTTACACTGATTGTCTTGGGTCATTCTCTTCTTCCCAAGCAGCTCGTTCATGTTTAGTTTATTCAGAATAGAGAGCCAAATGAATACTCTAATTCTTTCAGTAGTTGCTACATTCTAAATGCATTCCAGTTTCTGAACTTGTTGGTTCGATATACTTGAATGCACAATTGCTTTGTAGGCGGATTTCACCGAAAACTTACCATCTTTAGCAAAACCCCAGTAAATTTTGCCACTTTATTGTCAGTATCATTCCCTGGTAGAGAACACACCTGATTTGGTTAACTCGATCATCGGGAAGTAAATTCTTTAAGGCATGAAGGTTCCGTGATCTATCTTCATTTATAAAATCAACAACTTTTCTATCATCTCTATCTCTTTTCGAGAATTTTACTCTCAAGGGGTGTCATCTATCCACCAATCAGTCCAGAATTTTGTATTTTCTTCCGATCTAATATGATATTTGCAACCTTCCTTTATAAAATCTTTAGTATTCATGATGCCTCTCCAAGTAGCAGAACAATTTCCTTGACAATTTGCTTCCAAAAATTGTTCCCTTCAGATATTTTTCTCTAAAGATTTTGCACCAAAGGTTTCTTTTTCTTCGAGCATCCTCCAACCACTCTTTGCCTACAGAGATAAGTTCATATCCTTCGTTTTTTGAGTCCAATGCCTCCTGCATTTTTGGGTTTATACACTATATCCCAATTGAAAAGGTGCTTGTGTTCATTTGTTGTACTTCCTCCCCATAAGAAATTTCGGTTCAATTTATCTAACGTGTTACATGTTGAAGTGGGGAGTACTACGGTCTGCATGGTATGGATGGGGATGGCAGCAGTCACGGCTTGAATTAATGTTTTGCGGCATGCCAAAGATAATACCTTGCCTTTCCACCCAGCCATTTGTCTCATAACTTTTTCAACGATCGGGGCATAAGTGTTGAAATTGCCCCTTTTGTGAAGGATCGGAACCCCCAAATACAAACCAAGGTTGTCAGTTCTAGTGATGCCACTGAGTTGACTAATCTGTTCAGCAACTTCATTATTGGTGTTTATTGAAACGAATAATTTTTTTTTTCTGAAGACTGATTTCCATTCCAGACGCAGTGCTGAAAATTTGTAAGCAACTTTTCACCTCCAAAAACTTGCTCCCTTGTAGCTTCGAAAAATAACAGTAAATCGTCTGCAAAAAATAAGTGGCTAAGATTAGTGCCCCTCTTAATAGTTTGATAGACTTGTAATACCTCAATTTAGGGGCTAAATTTTAGAATTATAAAGTGGTGGATATAATTGTATAATTGGAATTTTGAAAGAAATTGAGGATTAAATTGGAAAATTTTCAAAATTGGTAAATCATTTTAAGAAGTGTAGGAAATTCAGTGGCTAAACTATTAGTTTACCCTTTTTTATTTTGGAGAGAATTATAAGTTCTCTCCCCCATTAGTTTCCAGAGAAATTTTCCAGTTTTCCTTCCCCTTCAACCCTCCTTTCTTCTCCGATCTACTCACCGTCCGACCTCCGATTGACGAACCGAAACCACCATCGTGTTTGTTGTCGACCGATGAACAAAAACCTCAAACCTTTCGTCGTGAATCATCGTCGTTCGTCGTTAATTTCAGTCGGAAGTATCGTCGGTTTTAACTCAATTTTCATTGGTTTTTCGTCGATTCACGTCGATCTGGCCATTCGTTTTCGACACCTCCCACACCGTCATCACCGACGCGTGGAAGGGTGAGAAAGTTAAACTTTTCGATGTTTCGGAATCGACCTCTCCACCGTTCAAAATTGTGAACCGAGCTTGATTAGTGTCTCAAAAAGCCTTAAAATAATTTTTAGAAATTTTTTGAGAATTTTTCCGACACCATATCACTGCTCACGCGCCGCACGCGCCGCCACTGCTCGTAGCGGTGCTAATTTTGTAATTAATTTCTGTTAGGGTGATATTTGTGTAAAACTGTTGACTGTTGACCGATTGATCGCGTTGACCGTTGACCCGCGTTGAGCACTGTTGACCAGAACTTTAACCGTCGTTGACTTTTTCCGGATATACCTATTCTAACATTTTTTGACGTCCTGAGTCCGATTCCGCAGTTCGTTTTTCAAAATTCAGACTCGAAAGCCTCGAAATTGCCAGTTAAACCCGTTGACTTTGTTCCTCAATAGGACCTTGTTCCTAGAATCTGATCAAATTGCTCAAGTTTCATGTTATCCTTATGGATAACTATAAATGCCTCTGAAAAATACGTGAATACTCTAGTGTGTTCCATATAAACTACATGACGGTTTTATATGTTTTGAAATGAGTTTAATACAAGTATTGATTTACTGGTTTATGAACCATGTCAACATGGTAAGTGATTTACGATTATGGTTTTATCAAAAATATAAATTGTTTCTGATTTATGGAATCATGGGAACTACTGGATTATGAACTATGGTTTTATGTTTCACTAGTTATACTTGAACTGTTTTACTGGAATATTATATGGGTAGACTGGAGGTACAGCTCTGATCAAGCTGGAAATTTCTTACAGACCTAAGGTGATCCTTGGGTAGGCTCTCAGGCCCCAAGGCACTCCCTTGGGTTAATCATTTGACTACTTATGGTGTACATGTAGAAATTGATTATATGATTTATTTCAATATCATAGATATGGCATATTATTGGATCACGATCCAAGTATTATGATTTATGGCTAAATTGATTTTTACTGGACTTTTATATGGATAGGATTACGAAGTATGGGTCACAGAGCTCTGATCCAGCTGGTAAGACCTTACGGACTTAAGGATATCCTTGGATAGGCTTATAGGCCCTAAGGCATATTCTTAGGTTGGTTTCCTTTGCTGTGTGCTTAAGGTAACCCTATGGATCTAAGGGTATCCTTGGGTAGGCCCAAGGTATATCCTTAGGTTGGTTTCCTTTGTTGTGTGCTTAAGGTAACCCTACGGATCTAAGGATATCCTTGGGTAAGCCCAAGGTATATCCTTAGGTTGGTTTCCTTTGTTGTGTGCTTAAGGTAACCCTATGGATCTAAGGGTATCCTTGGGTAGGCCTATAGGCCCCAAGGAATATCCTTAGGTTGGCTCCCTCTTTGCTATGTGCTGAGAGAAAGCCCTACGGATGCAGTTCTGGGGAACTGCATAATGGAGTTTGGTTGGGGGTTCAACTATGGTTTTAAAAGATTATATCTTTTTACTGGTTTTGATTGGAACAGACTATACATCATATTCGACCTCATGAAAAAATGATAGTATGAAATGTTTCTTATGAACTGAGATTCATGACTTTTACTTGATGTACTACTAATGGAACCCCAGATTATCCCGTAAACTGGTATACGTCTGATTCAATAAGCAAATTATATGGTTTCCCATTTATCTGCATGTCATGTAGCATCATCTGGTAGTTATGTATTACTGAGTTTTCCGAAGCTCACGCTATTACTCATCATGGCAGGTTAAAAGAATTGTACTTGTACAGCTATCGACATCAATAAGGGAGTTCTTCCGGCGTTGCTTGCAGAGTATGGTACAAGTTATTAGGGGGCATATAATTGTATTTTGTTTGAAATACGAGTATGAAAATCTATTTTATTTCTAAATACTAATAAATGATTTTAAACTCCAGATCAGATCGGGTTATCCGCATCTGTAACCCCCTAGACCCGGCCTATGCGTTTCGACTAAGTCTAGTGGATCACATTATGATTATTAAAGACATTTTTCGAAACCGTTATTCCATCAATATAAAATCACATTATAAATAACATGAAATTATAAACAAATTATACTATCAAAATCCAACTCGTAAATATAGTACCAATAAATGATAATTTAATTTAAACACGTCTTCAAATTCAATATCACAATAAACCGAGCAGTATTAGCAAAAGAGTTATCATTATAAAATCCGATATTTTAAAATAAGGTCCATGCCACCAAAATAAAGTCAACTTGCTAGATAAAAACATTACAATTTGATTTACTTCAAGAGATATGTTGATCCTCCAAGTGCTCGTACCAAGGTATCTAACCAACAGTATCTGAAAGGGGAAAACATTTTCAAAAGGTGAGCTAGGCTCAGTGTGTCCCAACATTTCCATAAAATCACAATAGGTACAAATCATAGTCCAGTAATCTCACAAATTCGTAAAAGAGTTTAACTTTTTGAAAATCATAGTTTAAACCTTTTTGGTACACCATCAGTAGTTCCCAAAGTATTTTCCATATAGCTTACTTTATGCACATAGCAAAAAGAAAGCCGACTTAAGGATAGGCTATGAAGTATCCTTAAGCCCAAGTCAATAAGTCCATATAGCTTACCCTAAGCACACAGCAAAGGAAAGCCGACCTAATGAAACATCTTGGGGCCCTCAAGAGTCACATTAGGCCCAGTTAGCTTGATCAGAGCTATTCCATCGTATTTCAATTCCAAAATTCAATTGCACCGTGACATAAATTCCATCAATCCAAAAACATGGTAATCATATACCATTTCAAAACAAAAATTAGATAGCAGCCATATTCCATAAATTGTCACATTAAATTGGTACATCCATAAAACAATAGCCAATGAATTCGGTGTACCACATATTAAAACCAATAAAACAGTTCAATAATAAGCAAGGAACACACCTCGACAATAGGTTCAAATAGCAAATTTACTGATTGCTGGTTTCACCACGCTCTGCTACAATTTTCGAACGGGTGAATACTGGCACACGTGGTTTAACTGATCTAGAAGAGCTGGGTCGAGCTGTCGAACGATCCGGAGAGTCTCTTGTACCTTCAAACAATAATAATCTATCAGTCCCAAATCCTATTTAATTGTTCAAAGCTAGTCTTCTTAAGTATATAAGCATTTTTCGAGTTTGACTATCAATTTGGGGTATTTCGAGTCTGAATTTGGCCAAACGGATTACGGAAACGGAATCAGGACGTCGAAAAATATAAAGTATGACTTTTCGAAAATTCAGATTCTTGGTCAAAGTCAAAGTCAACCACTTTGACCTTCGATTTGGAGACCTTCGGGTTTGAATTTGGTGAAACGGATTGCGGAAATGGATTTGGCACGTCGAAAACTATCAGGATAGGTATACTCGGAAAAGATTTACGGTCGTTTAAGGGTCGGTCAAAGCCATTTTAAGTTTTAGTCAAAGAAAGTCAACGGTCACGGTCAACGGTCATGGTCAAACGGTCAACGGTCGGTGGGTCAACAGTCGGGTCGGGTCAACAGTCGGGTCGGGTCAAACCGGTTCAAAACTGGTCAAACCGGTTTTCCAGCAGCTCACTCTCCCTACGGCGGCGCGTGCGGCGCGTGAACAGTGCCACGGTGTCGGAAAATTCCCGGAAAAATTTCTAAAAATTATTTTGAGCGATTTCGAGATACTTACAACGATCGGTTCAAATTTTTGAACGGCGGAGAGCTCGTATTTCAACTCGGCCGAATCTTTGACTGCTCCACCTCCTCACGCACCGCCGTCGACGGCGAACAAAGTTGACACCGGCAGACTCGCAACGACACAAGGAACACGATGGTGCAGGAGGTGTCGTAAACGGAACAACGATCGGCGGTGAATTTAAGTTTTTCCCGACGATAGAGCTAAAAAAAACGACGATACTTTGACTGAAAATTCCCGACGTTTGGCAGCGTTTCACTTCAATTAATTTGAAGGGTTTGTTCCTCGCTTGATGATGAGCACAACGGTGGTTTCAATTTTACGATTGGACGTCGAACGGCGTCGGAATCGGCTTTGAAGTAGAGTGCAGGAGGAGGAATTTCACAATTGTTTTCTGTTTTAAAAACAGAAAACCATTCATACGTTTATATTAAATTTTCTGCCGACACTAAAAGGAGTAATGCAGGGCTTGGTCCCTGAATTTCCTTTAACTTCTAAAATGGCCTACAATTTTGAAAACTTCCGATTTAATCCTCAAATTTTGCCAAATTACTTAATTAAATTTTTTTTTCTCTAAATTTTATTCCGGGTTGTTACAATTCTCCCCCTCTACAAGAAATTTCGTCCTCGAAATTTACCTTATGAGAATAGTTGAGGAAACTGAGCCTCCATTGACTCCAATGTCTCCCAAGTAGCTTCTGAGGGGCCTCGATTACTCCACTGAACTTTGACCATTGGAATTCGCCTATTCCGAAGAACTCTTTCATCTCTTTCTAAAATCTGAATGGGCTCATCCTCATATGACAAATCCGGTCTCAGCTCTACTTCTTCAACCTGAATAATGTGACCTGGATCTGGAAGGTATCGCCTTAACATAGACACATGAAAAAACATCATGAATACGACTGAGGTGGGAAGGCAACTCAAGCTGATAAGCAACAGGTCCAACTTTCTTCAGAATACGATACGGCCCAATAAATCGTGGACTCAATTTACCCTTACGCCCGAATCTCAATACTTTCTTCCACGGTGAAACTTTTAAGAAGACCTGATCACCAACCTCAAATTGTATATCTTTCCTTCTCTGATCTGCATAAGACTTCTGCCTATCAAATGCCTCTTTCAAACGGTCACGTATAAATCTGACTGTGTCCTCTGTCTCTCGCACTAACTCAGGTCCCAACGTTTTCCTATCACGCAACTCAGTCCAACAGATCGGAGTGCGACATTTACGCCCATAGAGTGCTTCATAGGGTGCCATACGAATGCTGGTCTGATAACTGTTATTGTAAGCAAATTCAGCCAAAGGCAAAAATTTCTCCCAGCTACCATGAAAATCGATTACGCAACCCGTAACATATCCTCAAGTATCTGAATCACTCTATCAAATGACCATCAGTTTGTGGGTGAAAAGATGTGCTATAATCCAATCTTGTTCCCAAAGCCGTATGTAGCGCCTTCCAAAATCTCGAAGTAAATCTCGGATCTCGATCAGAAATAATAGACAATGGAACACCATGCAATCTAACAATCTCTGAAATATACAATCTTGCCAGCTTGTCCAAAGTATAATCTACTCGCACAGGAATGAAGTGAGCTGACTTTGTAAGTCTGTCAACAATCACCCAAACTGAATCTTTTTTCGAAGGAGTCATAGGCAAGCTAGTAACAAAATCCATAGTAATACGCTCCCATTTCCATTCAGGAATCTTAATAGGCTGTAACAAACCTGATGGATGTTGATGTTCTGCCTTAACTTGTTGACAAGTCAAACACCTCGCTACAAAATTTGAGATGTCCTTCTTTATGCCGATCCAATGATACCTCTCTCTCAAATTCCGATACATCTTATCTCCACGGGGTGCATAGCATATGGACTACTATGAGCCTCAGTAAGGATAGTCTGTCTCAACTCAGCATCATCACACAATACCAACCTTTGAAGCATAGAACTTCATCCCGGTCAAGGGCGTAATCTGAGCTTGTCCCCTGCTCTACTTGCTCAAAGATGGGAAGCAAGGAGCTATCAAAGGGCTGCTTAGCCTTGATCTCATCAACCAAGGTCGGCTTAACTTGCAATTCTGCTAACAAAGTGCCATCATCATATAAATTCATCCTGGCCATTAAAGATCTCAACTCCGATACGCCTTTCGACTCAAAGCATCCGCTACAATGTTAGCTTTACCAGGGTGATAATCAATCACAATCATAATCCTTCAGAAGCTCTAGCCAGCGCCGTTGTCTCAAATTAAGCTCGTTCTGGGTCAGGAGATACTTTAAGCTCTTATGATCTGTGAAAATAACACTTCTCTCCATAAAGATAGTGTCTCCAAATCTTCAAGGCAAAAATCACTGCTGCTAACTCCAAATCGTGAGTAGGATAATTACACTCATGAGGTCGCAGCTGACGGGATGCATAAGCCACCACTTTACCTTCCTGCATTAAAACACAGCCAAGTCCTGAGTGTGAAGCATCACTATACACTGTAAAATCCTTCCCGGACTCTGGTTGAATCAACACGGTGCTTGAGTCAAAACCGCCTTTAATTTTTCAAAGCTCTCCTGTTTGCCTCGCCCTAGTCAAACGGCACATTCTTCCTTAACAACTTTGTCAAAGGAGAAGCAATGATCGAGAAGCCCTCAATAAAACGTCGATAATAACCAGCCAAGCCCAAGAAACTGCGGATCTCAGATATGTTCTTAGGTCGTTTCCAATTCATAATAGCCTCTATCTTGTTGGGATCGACCTGAACACCTCGCGCAGAAATAATATGCCCCAGAAACGACACTTCTTGAAGCCAAAATTCACACTTGCTTAGTTGGCATATAGACGATGCTCTCTCAAAGTTCGCAGAACGATCTTCAAATGCTCGTCATGCTCTGCCTCAGTACGAGAATAGATCAGAATATCGTCAATGAAGACCACCACAAATTGATCCAAATATGGTCGGAACACCCGATTCATCAAATCCATGAAAGCTGCAGGAGCGTTCGTCAAACCAAAAGGCATCACTAAGAATTCATAATGACCATATCTAGTGCGAATAGCCATTTTTGCAATATCTGATCCTTTAACTTTCAATTGATAATACCCCGAACGAAGATCAATCTTAGAGAATACAATAGCTCCTCGCAATTGATCAAATAAATCATCATCCTGGGTAGTGGGTATTTATTCTTGACCGTCATCTTGTTCAATTTCCGATAGTCAATACATAATCTTAACGACCCATCCTTTTTTTCACGAACAGAACTGGAGCTCCCCATGGTGAAGTACTATGTCGGATAAATCCTCGATCGAATAATTCTTGCAATTGGACTTCAACTCTTTAAGTTCCCTTGGAGCCATACGATAAGGTGCCATAGAAATAGGTGACGATCCGGATAAGTCTCAATCTCGAACTCTACCTCTCTATCAGGAGGTAACCCAGGCAACTCCTCCGGAAAAAATCAGGAAACTCGCTAACTGTACGAATCTCCTCGATCGTGGACAATGCACCTTGGTGTTCAAAATACAAACAATGAAGGTCTCATATCCCTT